AATGACTGGATGTGAATGATAAACAAGAAGGAAGAGTCAAAGATGAGTTCCAGGTTTGCGCTTAGGCAACGAAATACGAGAACTATATCATGCCTTGAGAGGCAAGTTGCAAGAGAAAGATTCCGAGAAGGGAAAAGATAAAGTCAGCTGAGTAAGCTGAATCCTAGTTACCTGGAACACAGGTAACTATGGAACACACCAAGGTGGTGATATCTAGGAAAGAGATGGACAATGAAGTCTCAAGCTCAGAAGGGAGGTCTAAGCAAGATATACAGATTTGGAAGTGACCATCACAAGGGCCTCACTGAAGATAATCACAGCATCTGCGATCATCCAGACCTTAGAGTGTACTGAGTGCGAAGGAAAGAGGATTGGGAACAGAGAGCTGGAGAATACCAACCATTCAAAGGAATGAAAGTTAGCTATCTTGTGATCTGTTAAGTTCCTTGTCTTTAGTCAAGGAACTAAATTCTTTAGGCAAATACTAAACATCCACTTGTGGGGGATTAGAGGGAATTCACAGTATAAAATTCAACTAGATGACCTCTACAACATGTTTCAACTCTGAAAATGAGTCAAAGACTTTCATTCAATCCAGTATTACTTACAATTTGAGAAATAACTTTATTATCATTACAGAAAAACTAAAATCATACCTATTTTTATTCTTTGGCATTGTTAGTCCAATAATGAAAAAACAATTTGAAGAATTAAAGTTTGTTGTTGTTTGATAATGCTGTTTTCTGAAAAAGGAAGGTTTACTTGGTTTACCTGGACAGGAGAGCTCAGGCTCTAGATCTAATTTCTTACCCCATTTTTCTCTCTGTGGGTTCAATTACACGGTTGGTATGAGAATGCAGTTTTACCCAAACACATGTTCCTACTTATTCTTCCCTTCCCTTTCTGCAACCTATTGCCTGGCTGGGGCTATACATAATGTATGGGCTTAAGTCTTAAATGTTTTACTCCATTTCAGAAATGTACCCACTATTTTCACTAATATTTAAAGTGTGTTTCTGTTTTCCATTCTACTCAATTCTAAAAACAGAGAAACATAGGTACTATACAATCTTTTAATTAAATCCAGAAATATTTTATTAAAACAAACTGTCATTTTTGGCATAACAGTACACCCAGTGTAGTGCTAGATAGGATTATTGGCAGTTCAACTTAATCTTAAAATATGGCACTGGTCCCACCAAGTGGAACCTGGAACAGGTGTTAGAGGAACTTGACCTCTTTTAACCATATGCACCTTTTCTCCTGCCCCCACCCTATGCCTCTTCCACCACTCTATAAACCTTCTTTTGTTTTTCCTGTTCTTGTCTTTCACTTTCCTTCTGGTAGTGGCCATAAACTTTTATTACCACTAAAGCTAACACAGCTGCCAAACCCTGACCTAGAAATACAATGGATATAATTCTAATTGGAGTATACAATTAACTTTTTGGTTGTCCTTAGAAAACAACTTAACTACATTCCATAATATTTCAGTGTCCCAATTCACAGGACAGCAAAAATAAATGGCTATAGAAAATAAACCTACATGAAGAAAGACCCTAGAGAGCTTTTTAGTTCTAGCAGGCTAATACAGGTTACACATACCAAGTTCAGAATCATGATTTGCAGAAACAGGTTTCTGACTGACCAGAAAAAGTGGGAGGGGAGCAAATTAGAGACAATGTTTGACATCATTTGAAGTTTAGTCATGCTAAGTTATTAAAACATAACAAGGGTTAAGTAGAGAAAATGAAAAAAAAAATCAAGACTAGAATCAGAATTAAAGAACTTCAGGACTAAATATTATAGTTCTGGGAAATGTTTAAGGGCTCCATAAAACTTGAGGAGAAAGGTAAATAATTGTGTTCCTACCACAATCCCCTCCCTCAGGTCAAGCGCTCTGGAAGCTATGCTTTGGTTCTACAGTCTCTTTATACAACAATGCTAGTTGCTATACACATTCATCAGAAAAAAGGTTTTCAGTGCATTTTTTTTCTCTCTAACTATCTGGCTAATGGTATCATTACCTTCTCTGTTTAATTGCACCAAAAGGAAGAGACAATTTATCACTGGTAGTGTTATGTGCAGGGAGTGGTAAGCACAGCACAGCAGCTTCCATTAGGCTATAAGAGGCACAGAAACACAAAAGCTCAGAGTGCTAACGCTAGGTCAAATAAATATTTTTAAAATGGCAAATAAAAAATGTTGTTTTATAGAAATGAGTTGATCCTATCCAACCTCATGTCCCAACACTAGAACAATCCAGATTCTTGCAGCTGCCTAAACAGCCTCTTACATCTGTATGCTAGAATGTCCTCCCGCTGCTTGTTGGCCTGAAAAACTCCTGCTCACCCTTCAAGTCTGAGCTCAAACACTACCACCTCCCAGGAAAGCTTCTTTGATTCTCCCAAACCGGTGCTCCTTTCCCTTAAGCATTCCTCTGACTGCTCCTTCATTACAGCAGCTATGTTCTGTGTGCTATTATTTCTGTACCTGTGAATGGAGCTCTGTGGTCACCTGACTGCTTTCTGAGGGAGCACCATCACTGCATCTCCGGGTACACGTCACGTATCTCATAGGGATCCACAGAGGAAAAGAACTTCCCTAGGTTTCAACACTCATTCCTCCAAGTCTCTCCTTTCCAATCCCACCTACTTTAGAGCTTCACTATCTATCTCCTAGATTATTTAAAATAGTCTCTTCAGTGGGCTTCCCATTTCTGGGCCCTCTTCCCTTGAATCCATCCCATATACACCACTGCCACTGTCATCTTAAAGTATAACTTTAATTAAATGTACCAGGTTGAGCAGTTGATGATGCAGAGAATGAAAAGCTGAAAAACTCCTGTTCTCTAAGCTCAATGGGCTCAAATTCAATAGGGCAGAGAGAGAAGTAAATAATTAACATACAATTTATTAGATGTTATAGAGATATATCGAAATCATGCTAATCCCTCTGCTTGGCATGTCCTTTACTCTAATTGGTCAATTTCTATTTCACTTTATATAGGAAGCCTTCCTAATCTCTAACCAGAAGCAATCACTCCTTCCTCTGCTCCCACGGTGCCGTTACTCACTTCTCACTTTCTGTTTGAATTTGTGTCCATACATTATGTATCTTACTGGATTAAGTCTTTCTAAATGGAAGGGCAATACATTTTATTCATCTCTGTTTTGAATGGTACCTAATCCAGTGCCCTGAAAATACAACAGTTGATAAATGTTGAATTATGGTGACTAACCTCACTAAAACATTATAAGTCTGTGATTCCTTCAGGATTTGCCAGCATTAAGAATATCAATGGATCAAAAAACAAAAACAAAAACAAAAAAAGAATATCAATGGCTATTCAATTCAGGACTGAAAATTTTCCACTCTAGCCACAAAAATAGAAAAGTCTATTTTGTTTGACTAGATAACAATGGACAGATGGAGACTATCCTCAGATTTGAAAGATGTGTCCAAATGAAATGGATCTCTATTGTAAAAACACAACAAAAGGCAGCTCCCCGGTACTAGAAACCAGGCAACCAGCCTCTGCTGAAAAATACAGAAAAATTATGAAGGACAAACATGGTGTGGAATGGGGGCAAGTAAAAGGGCAAATGTTTAACTAAGTGAAAATGTCCACAGCTTAGTAAAAATTTAAAATTAAATTCAATAAAACAAGATGGCACAAGAAAATATTTCAAAAATGGATCATAAGCCTTCTGATCTCTCAAATAATACAACTTTCCAGAGGTGAATACTTGTAGCTTATCCATTTTTTACAGTTTACATCCAATTTCCTGCAACAGTGTTACTATAAGATACCTCATCAAATCTGTCCTAAGATCCCCAATTCTTTCATTTCACTTTTGCAATGGTGCCTGTCCTCTCTTCCTCCCTCCACCCCATTCCTTCACCATCATTATTTTAGTTGAATGCAATAGTTATGCGAAGAATGAGGGAGACAGCAGCTTATCCATCATTCACTGAATCACAAGAACTGAAAACTTTTAACATTTCATCATTTAAAAGCAAGCACTAAAATTCCAACTTCTCAATTTTGGCCAAAAAGCAGCTGAACGCTCAAAACCACGAAACCTTTTATGAAAATGCTGTGCCACAATGATATTTATCTGCTCCTAATTGGTTTGAATGAAGTCAGAACATCTGATTATATCATTTATTTCATCATTAAAATCGCTAAGGGCAAAAACTGTCTCATCAACTCATTTTCTGGAGTCTTCAGCAAACTGTTGGTAGCAACTTTTAACCTAAAGACCCAAGTTTAAGTTTGCTATCAGGATTAAGTAAGAAAATATATGAAAATGCTTTATAAAACTCTAAAGTGCAACACAAATATAAGATGTTACTGATATTATTCTTACAATAGCTCTCTCCAAGAGCAAGTCCCTTCTATAGGAAATCTTAATAAGGCTGAATTATTTCTGTATACTTTTACCAAAAGAAGTTTTATGTTTGATATGCAAAACTGTAAATAACTCCTAAAAAGGGAGAGAGAGGAGAGGGAAGACAGAAAACTCAGGTGAAACTAGGAGGTAAATTAGAGAGCAAAGGAGACGGTTTTGTAATAAAATAAAGTGATACAAGAGAGCGCAAACCTGGGTCTTAGGGATCCATTTCTAACTCTTACACTTACTATCTACCTGTGTGTCCCTGGTCACTTCACCTCACTAGGCTCCAGTTTCCTCATTTGTAAGTAGATGATAATGCACAGGGTCGCTGCTGGGATTAAATGAGATAATATTTATACAAAGTACTTAGCACTATGTCTTACACATAGTGATAATAAGTAAATGGTCACTGTTGCTGATAAAATTATTATTAGACCTATACCTTGATTAGTGACACTCAGGAAGAAAAAGGAGCCAAGAACATGTCAGAGGGGAAGGTAAGATACAGAGAGTTAAGTTTATATATTACTATTGGGAGACAAAATTTGAAACATACAGATTATACAAAGCATTTTCATATGAAATGTCTGAATTACTCACTGTGTCTCCAGGACTGCTGAAGAATCTACAGAACCGTTGCCAAAATCTCCAAGTCATAAAAGCAGAATGGCAATGACTACATGGATGGAGAACAGGATCGAAAAATAAAAATAAAACAAATTTATGCTTATTAACATGTACAGAAGCTTCTGTTTCTAAACTTTCAATTTTCTAAATTTTCACACACAGAATAAAAGCTAGGCGCCATAGCAAAGGTACAGCAACTCTGCTTGTCAAAAATAGATGCTATTAGCAATCATGCACAGTCATTTAAGTTTCTGCCATCTTGTTCTTTATTCTGGGAGAAGCTGTTGTATTTATGGTTGATTTTGAGGCATTAACTACTAGTAACTACATCATATTCAGGAACTGCAAAAGCAGGAAAAGTGTTCCAAAATTAGAAAGAAGAGGAATAGACTCCTCTTCTGAATCAGATGTAGATAGCAAAAACTGTAAAAGGTAAGAAAATAATGGATGCTGCCTGTGCATATGGGATCAGAGATTTGAATACTGTAACATGTGAAAAACACATACCTTGTGCAATCAATAAGAATCAGCAAAAGACAAGGAAAACAGGAAACCTTCTGTATGTGTGGCCAGAGAATCAACATCAGTTTGGGTTGTCAACTGGTCTACTGTTAATTCAGGGGACAGCTAGGAGCTCATTTAAGAGTTTCAAAGCTGAGCATAGTACAAGTGCTACTATCATAAGCCACAAATTGTCAAAGTTTGAGGTCTTTTTTAATTTACACACCACCAATGTGAGTGGTCAGCTCACCACATGACCTGTAACTGCTAAGGTCTTCCCTAAGACCTGTGCAGAGATCATCTAAGAGGGAGCTTACCTATCTCAGTGGATTTTCAGTGCAGATAAAACTAATCTACTATGGGAAAAGATGCTCAAAACATTTCTGTTAGCAAGGAGGTGAGAGTATGTCTGGTTTTCCTTTGATGGACCAACCAACACTCTTTTTTACTAAGAATAACCTTTCAAAACCAAACCTGTACTTACAGGAATATGCATGCAGTATGATCAATAAATAAGGTGAATGTTTAAATTAAATAAATTTTTTACAGTAAAAGACACATTGCCATTAATCCCCCTCAAAATACTCCCCCTCGCTTCGAACACACTTATCCCATTGTTCTTGCTACTTTCTGAAGCAGTTCTGGAAGTCCTCTTTTGTGAGTGTCTTTACTTCATCCTCCATCATGACAAACTCTGTGTCACACACCACTTCTGGTACGGCAATTTCTGTCAAATAAAAACATTACGGTGTGTCCTCATCCAACTTATTCACCAGATCTTGGCACCGTGCAACTTCTGGCTGGCTCTTCCCCAAAGTCAAAATGATTCAGGACATCAAGGCAGCCACGACAACACAACTAAA